AAGAAGAAAGTGGGTCTTTGGGATTTTGGGTGTTGGCCAAAGCTGCAACAGACCCATTTTAAAACTGGCTGATCGTAGGTCCAGACGTCAATCTTCTCCCGCTAATTGTGCAACATGTGTGTCCTGGAAGCGCCATCCTCAGTGATGAATGGTGGGCCTACAGAGGTGTACTAACCAATCATGGATACACACATTTTCCTGTTAACCACAGTCGGTGGTTTGTTGACCCATTAACAGGCAGCCACACACAGAACCTGGAGAGAGCATGGGCCATATACAAGGGGATGGTATGGCGACTGCGAGGAAACAGGACAGAGGCCCTGCTAAAAGAGCATCTCTTAGTAATTGAGTGGACCTACTGGTTAGCTAACTGCCACAAAGATGGTCCTTTTGGGAGAATGATTAAGGATATAAGGCATAAGTACAGCTTGTACAAACACCCTGCTACCTCCCTCTTTCTCCAACCCCCCACCTGCCTCATTCAGGCATTAGTTTTTAATGTTCTTCTTTGAATTAATTCATCCGAATTTTTAAAGCTCCTCTTCACTCACAAACATGTTTTTTAATGGTTTTATAGGCTTTACATGAAGATTTTGTTCAAAATAAGATGCAAGGGACATGAGGAAGAGTTCTTTTTTTCTTTTTTCGGTGAAACTGTAAAATCCTTATATTGTTATTCCTTTGAAAGAATGTTAAGTGTTACATTTTGAAAATAAAATAACCACTTTTTCAGATTTTGCATAAAGTCTTCATCTTTTTAAATTTGGAATGAATCATGTTGATAACACATGTTTATGATGAGTTAAATTCCATTTGGAAATGTTTCACTAATGTTCAGTATCTGCGTGATTGCTTCAAATATTCAAGGGTCACAAACAGCAGTAGTACCTGGTTAGTTATGGTTAAAAAATTATTTTTTAGCACTTGTATGCATTTATGAAGTGTTCCTTAATAAATACATGTTTTAGACTTTACAGGGTCACAGAGAGCATTAACAAATGGTTAATTAAGGTTAAGTAATGGTTATTCACCACTGTGATACATTTTTAAAGAGCATTAATAAATGCGTAATTACGAGTAAGTAATGCTTACAGTATACAGCAGGGGTGGGCAAGTCAGGCCCTCGAGAGCTACCACCGTGCATCCTTTCCAACTATCCATGCCCTGCCCACTGCTGCATACCTGCATCATGTGTGTTCAGTCAATCAGAAGCTGGAAGATACCACCTTAGATGAACGTGGAGCGAGGACAAAGTGAATTCGTTGGTTGGAGGATGGACAAGTAAGTGGACAATTATTATGCTTAAATGAACATTAAAACAGCCTTCTCCTAATGAAACTGCTAAGCTGTGAACTTCGTGAAATAAATGTTAATATCTTTATCTGGTAATGTCTAGTGTTACCAAGAGACATTTAAGTTGTTGAATGCAATGCTTATTATTGTATTATTTAACATTTAGTTAATGCTTATTACTGCATCAACAAATGTCAGCAGTGTCGTTAAAAACTATTAAATAATATATGAGGTAATACTTTAATTAACATGAAAAACATTAGTGCATGATTAATAAATGCATTAGTTACCTATTAGTTAATGCTTATTACTGCATTAAGTATGGTTAATTAATGTACCCTTATTGTAAAGTGTTACCGCAGAAAGCAGGTTTGAAGAGTTCTTCAGGAGTCACGCATTTCTCTTTAAGAACTAAAAAGCACTTCATCTTCTGAGCTGCATGTTCCTGCTTCCTAAAATACACCCACAGAACTAGTGAACACCTTCTGTGTGCTGACAGGCAGATTCGTCATTGTTGGTGCCTGGCATCAGAAGACAGACTCACCACTGCTGCGACTCTTGCGGTTGGCCTTCCCTCCCGTCAGAAGCATCTTCAAGCTGTTCCTAAACATGACTGCAGCAGATGCCCTGGACTAGACTACAGAAAAATCTGTCAGGGAAAGAAAAGACAATACAAATTAATGCATGACCAGAGTGTTTACTGGGATATCTGATGTTGCTAACAATACAATTAATTGCTTAATAACATTTTCAGGAAGCTCGGATCATATCAAAATTGAATCTGGATTGTGGAAAAAAAGGTAGAAGGATAAGCAAAACATCCACCTAAACCTAATTCTTATATCATATCTTGTAATCTGTAGGCATGCTGATATGAAGCTATGATATGGGAGTGTGTTAATAACACTCAAATAACATGCACAATGATGCACAGTGTTATTTTCAGCACCATATATTGGATTGTATTGTGTGTTTTACAAAATATTTAATTCATGAAAACACCAACCAGCATAAAAACATTTCCAGTCCTATAGAAGCTTCTGAATGGTTTTATGCTCCAAGTCAAGGTGGTGGCACACATGCACACAAAGTGAAATGATGTGAGTGGAGGCTTACAGACACACATTTTGCCACAAAGGGAGGTAAAGACGTGTCTGCACAAGTTTAAAATGTTTAGTCCTCAGCAAAAAAACTTCAAGCCTATCATAAAGCTGTAGGACGACTTCCGTGAAGGACACATAGGCTAAGAGGATAAAGTTATGCATCTGTAAAAAAAATAAATGAAAGAAAGTTTCAGTGGTCACACAGAGACACACACACACACACACACACTGGTGTGTTTGCTTCTAGCTAGCTCACAGTTATCTTCTGTAAAGGTGGCAACATTTCATCGGTTATTTGCGGTAAATAAACAAAGTGCTTAAAAAGAAAACATCACATTTGTGCAAACAAAGTGAGGAAAAAAATCTGCTTCTCCTTTGGAGTATTCAAGGTATTACATGTAGAACAGACGTTTGGTACAGATAGTACCAAGGATTTACTGCACAATATTGTAAAACTGCAGTTTCAGTACAAAAAAAGCAGTTGCAGAGCAGGCAGATAACACCTTAAACCTTTAGATTGCATTCATTTCTTGACTGCAGCGTGCTCTATCCCGCTAATCCCTCCTCTCCAGCTCCCCACCGCACAGACACACGTCTCTGCTGTGAGACCTGGTAGTAAAAAGCATGGCAGCAGATGTTCTCCATTAGGCGGGAGTGAGTCAGCAAAAGCCCCACAGACAAGCTCCAGCTGAGAAGCCGGTGCTGACCCCAAACAATTAAAAAAAAACTCAAAGAGGAAGACATGGAAAAGCTCTGAAAAAGCCCTGCCCCCTCCTCTACCAACCCTGATTAACCAGTCTTTCGACCTTGAGCGGGGTTGAAAGGCTTCCAGGATCATAATAATAGAGACACTGCGAGTGACACTGGGGAAATGGCAAAGACAGTGAGACAATGCATGACATTATATTCAGGGGGGATGAAACTGAGCCACACAGCACATATCTTTGATTTACTGATTCTGATTTTTGAAAGCATCACAGGATGAATGTGCTCTCTCAAGTCATACTTAAGGGTTTAATATCAAATGGACTACTGATGTCTGTACACAGATGGGGGAGGTCTAAGACACTTGATTATAGGTGCAGATTATCTTGGATGTTGATGAGGCTGAACTTTTGAAGCCCTTAACAACATGCTTGACTTTATCAGGGTCTGTCTGACTGTAATTTTGTAAACTGAAGTTGTCTACACTAAGTGCGTTTTCACACCTGTAGTTTGTTCACACTAGTCCAAACCAGCTTGTAAACTTGGTCCGTTTTCCCCTTGGTTCAGTTTAGTTTCACATACAGGAAAATCCAAGCAAGCCAAAATGTGTTGCTACAAATCACATGAGAACATTCACATCGCTCACTGGTTAAAGAAGTCTAGGGTGGGAACGAGAAAGTAAACGCTGTGCTCCCTACCGGTGAATAGTCCTATGAAATAAATGTGCTCTGCAGCGTGGAGAAACAGCATAATCAGCATTTGCTCATAACTGTGGTGATTATTTGGGCAATAAATCAAATAAAACTATGTTAACAGAAAGCCAAATATACTTTGAGACAATACAATAGTGCTTCATACTTTGCAAAGATGATTTGCAGCCTACAGTCGACCGAGCAGAAAAAGGGAGTGAATACTGAGCATATACAACACGTGTGTGTGTTGTGAGCACACACAAGACCAAGCATGGAATTTACTTAGATATATGTCCAACACTGACCAATCATCACCTGCCATCTTTCACAACTACACGTTTACTGAGATTAAATAAAACACTACATCAGCTGATATTTCCTGTATATAACTCCATATGCACTTTTGTTACTCTTTGCATGGCCTGTGTCTGGTTGTAATGGTGCGTACTGTGTGCAGTAAGACTAAAGCTAGATAATTAACTTCTGGGTACTGATGACAGGATTCTCCCAAGTCAATAACAGCCTTAGGAAATATCCTTATCATCTGCATCAGCTAGATCAAGACCAGTGCAAATGAAGGTTATGTCTTTTTTAGTGCTCTATCTTTTGATGTAGGCTCACTTATACCAGGTGAATTTGTATCACAGAGGCTATTCATTCCAGTGCTCATAAAAACACCCCGCTTTAGAGGGATCACCAGCAATAAATATGACAATTTCTACCTTCATTGGCCAAGCAGTGCAGAGTCATCCAGCCATTTTGATGGGTTCCTCTAGATGAAAAATGAGCCTTGATGTGAATGAGTGGGTTATCAAGGACATTTTTTCTCTGTACTATTTGGCCCAAACCTTGATGCAACTATTCTCTGGAGACGAACTCTAAGAGTGTGTGAAATTTTATGAAGAGCCTCCTGCAGGGCTGTCTACTATGAATGTGTTATTAGCTCCTGATATGATAGATTCAGCAACTCAGCTGAGGCAGTGAGCTAACTGGTGCTACAGGCAAATATACCCTCAGAACATATGACATTTCTTTAATTTATGTATGTTTGTGTGCTACATGTGCCACAAAGGGTAGCAAATGTAGGCCTAACGCTTTTATAAGGATATACTATAACAAAGCAGCATAATGGCTGTTTGTCTTTTATTAACTAAGATTTACTGAGAAAGTATCATTCTGTACAGTAAATACTAATGTTAATCTTCCCACTGTATTTTGTTTAGCATGACAGCCACTGTAAGATAGGAACAAATAACTGATATCAAGAAAGAATGCTCCGATATGCTCTAAATTATTGAAAATAACAGGATTTATAGCCAAACCTTGTGGAAGGTTCCGTTAGAAGCTGGTCCCTTTTTCTAAGGATCCTTATTTTTCCCCTTCTTGCATCACCTTTGAGATTTTTTTTACCATAAATGTATCTCCGTGATATGGGATAAAAGTGTTAGAGCCGTGACACACCAAGTTGATGACTGAACATCTTCTCAGTGTGTCCCCCACCGCTAGTACACATGACTACATGACATAGCCACATCGTGGTGTATGGGCGCCATCTTGTAATCTGGTATCCAGTTCTCCTTAACATATCCATGATTTAATTTCCTTTGCCTCAGCTAACCCCAGTGACCTAATAGGTCTTTAGACCGGCTGTAAGTACTAGGTTCACTCAACACAAGTGTGTGGAGTTACAATCTATTAACCAACATCCACTTCAGCAGCTGGAATTGGATTATTTTTATTTCACAGCTCACACAACAAAATCTGTTCCCCTTTCAACCCTTCAAATTTTCTAACAATTGTAGAGAAGAAAATGTTAAATAAATACTGCAGTAATGAGGGGTGGTTTTATCATGCAGAACCACATAAGCCCTTCCCTCTGTCTGAAATCTACTCATTGGTATGAATCATTTGCTTTCCCATGACAAGGTGTAGACAGTGGTAAAAGAAGTGTAAGGTGGCAGTGGGTCAGATCCATTAGCATGCATGCTCATCTCCTGAGATACAGCCACAGCTGCGCAGGGGCATCTACGCACATATCTGTGCAACTCAACGCAACATCACCTCAGTAAAAAAATATGAGCACAGAGCAGCTTAAAATGTCTGGTCTAGTTAGCCTGCAGCCTAGAAGACATGCTGTGATTATAATACTAAATCAAAAGCTATGACTCAGTAAGTATATATTGTAGCTGAAAAGAGTAGGGATGAAACAGAGAGGGCTTTGCAGTCTAGCTCAATAAATCTGCATCCATATGCACTGTATAGCGGTGAGCTAACCAGGCAAGGCCAGAGCGGTTTACTAACTGCCAAAGCAGAAAATAGGGAGAGATACTGCAGTCTGTTTCTAGAGGAGGCAATCAATGTTTGAAATCTTGGAGGACAAGATACCAAGTAGGCGCACACACACACACGGACTCACAGGTCCCCAGAGAGATGAGCACACACACACACACACAAATGTACCCATATACACAGCTGAAGCAATGTTTCATCTGAGGGTGGAAGCACACACATCTCTCATTCCCACTTTCTCTGACCCTGTGTACCAGCCCTTGTGAAGGGAAGCCAAGAAGCAGCATGCTCTCACAGATAATGTGCGTAAGCAGATGCAGCCCATCTCAGGCTCTTCCACAGCTCAGGCATAATGCTCTTCCAGTGTGTTAAAATCCACTTAAAGACACATTCACCAGCCTTGTATGATGAGCCACTTTCATCTGCTCCGGTCACCCAGCGCAACACACTTGTTTGTTCTGATGAAAAATAAAACGCAGACACAGCTTGGTTCGTTTGTAAGCATGGCTCACAAAAGCACAATTAATATTCTCCAAAAGAGGCCTCAAATTAGCCTTTTGAGATTCACATACCTGTGTGAACTTGGAGCTGCATTACCAGCCTCAGTCATTAAATACTTAGGTTCAGCTGTACGTCCTGCTTGGAGAATTGCTTAATGTTGGGAACCCTGAGTTATGATTATCAAAGGATTATAGCTTAGGCCTCTTCATATTATAACCCTCCTGTAGAAGGAGTTAAATTTTGATCACTGAGCCCCATCTAAATCTTTAAATGTAAAAGCCAGCAGCAGGTGCAGACGCCCCCCTCTGTGCCCAAGTCTGGACTGAGAACCGCCGTGAGCCTCCATTAATTCCAAAGCT